TATAACATTGAAGGATGCTGATACTTTTAGTAAGAGTTGCAAGTTAACAACCTCTGAAAAACAAAAATTTCAGGCAGCTGTGGCTTTACTCAAAACAACCGTACAATTTTTTCTATGAACATTTGGAAATAGTAGAGGTAGAGAGAATATTTATTGATGAACCTCAAGTTTTTGTGGCAGATAGTGAGCAAAAAGTGACAGCAGCAGTTAAGGCATTCGAAAATGAACCTGCAAATTTTATACCAGAAAGTACGCGAGGAGCTGGCCTTGCAATAAGCGTCCAAGGTAAAGGTGTAACAAAAACGGGCTCTACAACAAGTATTCAAGATGAAGGTATGATAGAAGTGACAGCAGCTCCCGTTCTTCAGAATGATGGATCAGTAAATTTAAATGACGATAAAAGTGTATTTGAAAAACGTATTACGATAGCTTTGATCGTAAATTTAAAAAACCCAGATCTGAAAAAGTTTTTAATAGACGCTAAACATCAGTTTGTAAAACAGATCCATCGATCTCTTAGTGAATATGAAGCGTTAAAGGTAAATACAGGGTTTGCAGCTAAATATATAATAGTTTAAGATAATTTTGAACATGTAGATTTAAAATACTTTAATATAAAATCAGAAGCTATATTCCAGACAACAGACTTAAATGAGTGGTTTGATGTGAATGTACCACAGCCAATAGAAAAAAATATGGATGATTTTACTGACAAAGAATCAGGCTGGTCTTTGCTCTCAATTTTGAATTTAGTTGTGAATATTAATAAACTGAATCTTATGCGAGGTAGTTCTTTTATAGATTTGTCAGATTACATAAAAAACAAAAATTCTAGTGTAAATGTAGTGAACAGAGACGTTGAGTGTCTTAAATGGGCTATTCTGTCAGCAAAACATCAAACAAAAAGAAATTGAAATCGAGTCTCGAGCTATGTTCAGTACGAAAACGAGTTAAACTTTGGTGGAATTGATTTTCCTATTACCCTAAAGCAAATTAAAAAATTCGAAAACCAAAATAAAGTATCGGTGGATTTATAATTTTTATAAAAGGGGAATGATGTATACAATGTTTTTCTTATTCACTTAACAATAAATAAACAAGAAGTCCATGTTAATCTTTTATTTCTTGAAAGCTTCTATGTAGATCTTAAAGAAGATGATAATATTAATGAAAGTAATAATCATTTAAACAAAGAATACGAATATCATTACGTTTGGATGAAAAATTTATCCCGCTTGGTATGTAAACAATTATCTAAACATGGATATGCAGTACATATATGTGATCGTTGCTTTCACTATTTTTCATCAAAACAAAACTTAGAAAAGCATGAAGTCGATTGCAAAATTCTAAATAAGTGTAAATTTAAACTGCCCAACAGAAATCAGAAAGATGATATACTACAATTCAAAAATTTTACGTACAAAAACATAGTACCTTTCGTTGTACATGCAGACTTTGAGTGTTTGCTAGAACCTATGAAGAGCAGTCCTGCTTATCAAAGTTATAAAGCATTCAGTATTGGTTATTTTATTAAGTGCTCTTACGATGAAAGCCAATCAGAATATAAGAGTTGTAGAAAAAGTGACGAAACCGATGATGAAACACCTGCCAAGTGGTTTGTTCGTTCTTCTTATCTTTTTGATCCAAAAGTAGAGGAATTATACAAAAACCCTATAAAAATGACAAATTTTACACTTGAAGAGCAATTTAAATATAATGAAGCTTCTTTGTGTCACATGTGCAACCAACCATTCAGCTTAAATGATATAAGAGTTAGAGATCACTGTCATCTCACTGGAAAGTAAGTGTACTTTTTTTTAACATATATCATGAAGCGTACAATATTTTTTTTATTTTAGATACAGTGGTCCCACTCATAACAAATGCAGTCTTAATTATCGAGACTCGAGAATGATACCCATAATTTTTTAAAACTTGAGTGGATATGATTCGCATTTGTTTGTAAAAGAACTTGCTGCATGCTTCTCGGGGAGAATCCAGTTTTTACCACAAACAAAAGAAAAATACATCTCATTTACAAAATATGTAGAAGGGACTAATGCCAGTTTTCAATTTATTGATTCCTTTAAGCTTATGACTTCATCTCTTGATAAATTGTCATCTTATTTGAAGGAATTAAAAACATTGGAAACAGTATTTTCAAATGATGATCATTACACTACAGATCAAATCAATTTATTTAAAAAAAAGGTGTGTACCCTTACGATTATACATCTTCTTTTGAAAAACTTAAGGAACGTAGGCTTCCATCAAAAGAAATTTTCTACAGCAGCTTAGTCAAAGCCCATATCAGTGACGAAGAATATGAACATGCTATAAATATTTAAAATACTTTCAACATACGAACACTGTGGCAGTATTCTGACTTATATTTGAAGACAGATGTATTGTTACTAGTTGAAATATTTAAAAACTTTAGAAATAATTGTCTTGAGGCATATTATTTAGATCCAGCTCATTATTACACAGCACCTGGCCTAACATGGGACGCGATGTTGAAATTTACGAATGTGAGTAGTATGTGCCAAGTATTGAGATCATTACACATATATAATTTATGTATATAAAATTATAATTACAGGTAAAATTAGAACTGTTGACTGAGATAGATATGGTTATGTTCGTCGAGCATGGAATTCGTTGTAGTATACGCCAATGTTGCAATCGGTATGCCAAGGCCAATTGTTCGTACATGAAAGAAGGCTATGAAGCTAATAAGAGTGATAAATTTTTAATGTATTATGATGTTAATAATTTGTATGGATGAGCTATGACCAAACCATTGCCTTATGGAGGCTTTAAATGGATTCAAAATGTTAGTTCAGTTGGTATTTTGAACGTAGCAGATGATGGAGAAATAGGTTACATACTTGAAGTGGACCTTGACTATACTAAGACTCTTCACGATGCCCATAAGAATTTACCTTTCTGTGCTGAGCACATCGCACCTTCAGCGTCCAAGCAAAAAGAATCCATGACTATACTATACGATAAACAACGATATGTGATCCACTATCGCGCGCTCAAAAAAGCCGTTAGCCATGGTATTCGCATAAAAAAAGTTCAGTAAGTTTTACAGTTCAAGTCCGTGGTTAAAGGAATATATAGACTTTAACAGTCAAAAGCGTAAAAATGCTACAAATGACTTTGAAAGAATGTTGTATAAATTATTTAATAATGCTGTGTATGGAAAAACGATGAAGAATGAGCGCAAACGTATAGATATCAAGCTTATTAATAAATGGAAAGGGCGTTACGGTGCTGAGAGTTATATCAATCGGCCAAATTTTTACAGCTGTGACATATCTGATGAGCAGTTAGTGGCTATACAATTATAACGCATGGAAATTAGCATCAATAAGCCAATATATTTTGAATTGAGTGTCTTGGACCTATCTAAGACACTTGTTTATCAATTTCATCATGACTTTATGAAAAGTCAAGTGGCAGATAAATGCAAACTTTTACACACAGACACCAACAGTCTTCTGTATGGAATATTAAATTACAATATCTATTAATGTGATGCGTTAAAATATCATAGAATTCAACACATGGAACTATCCCATCAATAATGATTTTAACATGCCTCGTAGTAGTAAAAAAATTGTTGACCTTATGAAGGATGAGTACAATGGAAAAGTCATGTTGGAATTCGTAAGATTGAGGAGAAAAATGTATCGTGTAAAGATTCAAGACCAAAAGCCATTGAAGAAAGTCCAGGGTGTCAAGAGCTCAGTAGTAAATGCTATGATAAACCTTGATAATTACATCAAGTGCTTATGCGAAAATACTAGTATGACTCGAGAGCAAAAAAGTATAAGGTCACGATATCATAAGCTCTTTACTGAAAAAGAAATAAAAATTGCGCTCAGTGCGCATGATGACAAACGATATTTTATATCTGGTTCTACAGACACCCTACCATGGGGTCATTACAGCATAGTGGAGAGGAGATTAGTAAACCAAGGTAAAGAGCTAGAAGGGGGAAAGACAGCTAATCTAAACAAAAATAAAAAAGTAGGGATCGAAACAGCAAATCAGAATAAAGAAACAGGAAGAGAAAAGACTGCTCATCTAAGGCCATCTAAAATAGAGGGGGAAGTTGCAGTTGAGGAGAAAGCTTTATATAAGGAAGTGTCACAGTCAGCAGAGATTATTATACTACAAGCCAGAGGTTCCAATAGGACTGGACTTAATAGACGACAGGAGCCTTTATCGCCATCTGTAGTCGCTTCTGACAATGTTACACCAAATAAAAAGACTTCGCACAGGTTAGCATAATTTTTTTTAAATTTTTTTCTTCAAACAAAAGAAAGAAAAAAAAAAATTGAACAGTTCAAATAAAAACTATTTATGCAAAATGTTACAGATGGATCTTGCACAACTTATTAACATCGGTAATAAAGGTTTTCTGCCGAAGAAAAAAATTTCCGACATGATTCCACATAAGAAATACATGGTGATCAAACTGAGGAAGGTCAACACTAGATTCGGGCCAACAGTAGTAGCTGAGTTGGCTGACGGTTTTCAAATCTTTTTACTGTTTGAAATATGCATAGCTGTGTATGATAATGATGACTTTTATAACGAACCGCTGGATACTGTTAATAAGTTCACATTATTTTTAATGTACAATGAAAACATATTGTATTTTCTTACGATTAGGAATAAGTAAATAAAATGACAATTTCTTTCAAATTTAAAGTATTTATTTCTCGAATACACTTCCTGTTACAGTTAGAACGATTTTTTTCCTAATGTAATATTCAATTTAAGATATCACATTGAACAAAATTTTCTTAACAAATTTTTTTTTTAATTGAAAAAGTTTTATTTTAATAATTTATTTGATCAATTATATTAAAAATATTTTTTTACTCGTTATGAAAAATGAAAAAAAGATTTTTTCATAATTTACGCTTATCAATCCAAATATTGAAAGTGTTGCTGAAATCTAACCACTTTACAAAAACTTACTGTCCACGTCTTCGAAGAACTTTTTCCACCAGGTAAATATCAGGATTTTTTGTTTTTTGCAGTTCCTGCTCATGAAAACCTTCAGAGATAGGTTGATCTCGATAATCTTTGAGACGATACGTAGTTGTATTCGTTCCTGCTACATGAATGATAGTTAATAATTCTGTTGACCAATTAGGAGCGTACCCTTTTTCAAATACTTGTTTTATTTTGCTCATGTGTACTTTATCACTAACTTTGAATTTTGGTTTTGGTTTGCTCCTACGTTTGCATCTTTTTTCAAATTTTGTCAGGACTTGAATTTCGTTTTCAGTAGTAACATCTTTTGGTTTCATACCAATTGTTGGATGTTTACTATTATTACAAAATTCAATCAACATTTGTAAAACATGAAATCATTTGTAACTGCCTTGTAAACTAAATTGTTTCCACATAAGGTCTTTTAAAGTACGATTGAATCGTTCGCATACAGATGTTTTGAGGTTTATGTAGGTTTAGTATAAGTTTATTTCGTATTTTTTCATTAGATTTTAAAACTTAAAATTGTAGAATTTCTTGCCATGGTCAGTTTGAAAGTTTACTGGCACCCTTCCGTCCTTTAATATAAACTGCATCGCTGTTGACACTATTTCATCTATTTTTTTCTTTATCAGTATAGCCCATGCATACTTTGAAAAAACATCTATTACAGTAAGTATATACCTATAGACTTTGTTTTTACTAGCATAAGGCTGCATCTTGACGAGGTCCGCTTGCCATGTCTCATCTAAGCAACGCACGTCAAATTTTCGACGAGGATAATTACGTCTTGCTGCCTTGTGAAGTTCCTCGACAGATAGTTCCACGTGTTAAACGTCTAAATTTATTTTTGTTGAATTGGCTTGAATTAATTTTTTGTAAATTGTATATGAAAGTTTGAATGCTGTCTATTTCTTTTTCAATACTTATAATTATTTTAGTTAAGTAAGCACGATTTACAGCGTCTCTAGTTTACTACCAAATACATCCACACTCATTGTGATACTGAAACAAAATGACTGCGTACCTTAATATATATATACATATGCCCTGCCTTACGTAGCTCTTTAATAATTAATATTATTTCATAGTCATAACTTGGATTTCCTGCCAATCTTTCAGCTGTGATTAATCGTGAACTATCCACGAATTCATCAAGATTGTTCCAGTGCACTAATCTATATGCTGCATCTTTCGGGCGATTTCGTATTGTGGTAATAATGATCCTCCAGTTTTACTTGGAACGCCATTGAACATAGAAGCAATAATTTTGGTAAATTTATGACCATTATGTTGCCTAATAGGTTCATTTTTATCAAATCCTCTTCTATGAACACTCGAAATTTTTAAAAGCATATAACATTTTTGCATATCCTCTTCCAATGTAAGATTTGTATTCAGGTATTTTTTTATTAGTAGCTCTAATTATCCCCCAGTTATTGGAAATTCGAGTTTGTCCAATGTTATTTTATTATTATCAAAATATATGGATAAATTTCCAAATTTACATGTTCTATTTTTTTTTCGTATTCCATACATCGAATCCAATAACTTTTTTTGATCATTATCAAGCATCTGCAAAATAAGAGTTTCTCGATAAGTTTTCATTAATTTTAACATTATTAGTCATATATTTAATAGTTTTATCCATTTCATCAGTATTTTCATTTATACTATCATCACTTTCACTGACAGCAGACTTGAATACCGTGCTATTATCATCGCTGGGTGGTTCTTTAGTTTTTGCTTTCGTAACATCTTTGTTTTTATCGTTATTTAAGTAGTTCTAGATTACAGATAAATTTCTTACATTTTTCTTGGTTGCAGTTACAACTTCCTGTAAAGGATCTGTTATTGGTTTGAAAAGTTTCACTTAGGAGTTTTTAAAACTTCATTTTTTCCAAAGTTTAACTGTCTGTACTTTTTTTGGAAGAGGTGGAGCTTTACCTCTGATTCCTTTATTTGCTGGCTTGAGTGCAACTGGCGCTTTGGAAAATGGTATTGCAGGAATTATAAAGAGCGTTGATACGTCTCTGCAAAAAAATAAACTAGAAGAAAATCAAAGGCATAATAAAACTATGGAAGCTATTGCGTTAGGAAAAGGTCGCTATTTTAAGCCTCATAAAACTGGATTGGGAGTATATTTAAAGTCATTTGGTAAAGGTCTGAAAAAAAAAACTCTTAAAAAGTAAATTTACCTTTAAGAGCCTTAACAAATGTAGAAAGTTGAAAAATTTCTTTTTTTCGTGGAATATTTATGCGAAATGACTTACCCAGTGATGAGCCATGGTATTGTGAGACTGCTGTAGTAAATCTTGACGACAAAAATGGACCTGGAACTCACTGAGTGGCGTATCGAAAATATGGCCAGAATGTTGGTTATTATGACAGTTTTAGAGATTTGCAGCCACCTATTGATTTAATGTTGTATTTGGGCGTTGATACAGTTCAGTATAATCACAAACGATATCAAAAATTTAACTCTTACAACTGCGGCCATTTGTGCTTAAAGTTTTTATCAAAACGTATATTAGCAATTAAAATAGTAAAAAAAATCTCAGTTTTACATTGACGGTCACAAAAGAAACATTAACACTTAGTTTGTCTGGTACTTCTTCTATCCTAGAGGCACAATATTTTCCACCTTTTAAATTATCACCAAAACACAAATATGTTTTTGGTTTAGTAGAACTCCTAACGTTCAATTTAATTCCTAATATTGATGTAAATAACAAAAAATTTTACGTTTGTGATCAAGTGGTAGCTATTCTAACTGGTAGTTATGAAATTGAAGATATTCAGTCATTTGTAGTCAATGTGTTACAACCGAAAGATATAAGTATCAGTATCAAGCCAAATCATAATACGCTTCGTAGTGTTAGGTGTAATCATAATATTGATTTTAGACCAAAAGATTCTATAGGGCGACTACTAGTTTTTACTGAACGATTACTACAAGATAACTTAACTCATGACTCTGACTTACTTGTATCCATTCTCAAGATTAACGCATTACGAGATGAGTGCAGCATCACTACTGGAGTTTATATAAACGGAAAAAAAGTTCATATAATTCATGAATTTTTTTCTGTGATACCACCAGGATATAAAATTATTGAAGTTTCATCACAAATAATCTACTTACCTATCGTTGGACGAGTAATAAATTACTTACAACTGCGCGTAGTTGATCAAGATGGTTATTCAATCAATTTTCGTGGAGAAGTCATCACGATAAGATTACACATTAAACCCTCATCGTAATGGGTATCATTTATAATCACAAAAAGTATATAAACAACTTGACATGTACTTCTGCACTCGGTAAACGGCAAGCTTTCAAATCGTCGAGACGTCAGAAAGAACAACGGAAGCATAAAAAATCGACAAATCAAAACATATAGTTTTTTAAAAGTCTTGGCTTAAAAATAAAAGGTGTGAACTAACGTTCAAATTTTTTACCTTAAAGATGAACGACATTTAAAGCATTCAGTCCCTCGTTGTGTTTGATGAGTCTATCCCACACTATGAAATTCATGCTCATCAACCATATGCATCATCAACATATAATAATAGTGATAAAATCCATATATCAATTAAACGTCAAAACCTATGCCTGCTACCATTCCGCAGTTCTTTAAATATTCATGGAAAGGTAGTCAAAGCAGATGGTACTACAATGGCTGCAAATACTAAGTTAGTTAACAATTCTATCTTTCATCTATTTGAAGAAATAAGATATGAGATTAACGCTATAGAGATAGATAAGTGTAAAAATGTAGGTTCGACAACTCTCATTAAAAACTGGCTGACGCTCAATCCTGATCAAGACGTATTAACTAAAAATGCTGGTTGGCTTGTTACTTCAAATGAACTTAACCTAACAAATCATAATGGCTACTTTGATCTTTTGATTTCTCTCAGTATAATTTTTGGTTATGCTGAAGACTATCGTAAAATAGTTGTTAATGTAAAGCATGAACTTATACTCACAAGATCTAGACATGATTTGAATGCAGTTTTACAAAGTGAAATTCCTGCTGCAGAACCTAATGGAGTATCAACTTAGGAAGACTTCAAGACATTAATATTAAAACTAGAATGGCTCATGCCTTACGTTGCAATGTCAGATGCACATAAAATTCGTCTACTCAATTTTTTGCAAAAAGATAAATTTGTATCTATGAGCTATCAAACTTAAGAACTTTATGGATATCCACTTTTACCTACTACATCAAAACATATATGGACGTTCAAGACGTCCAATCAGTTGGAAAAGCCGCGTTATGTTATACTAGCCTTTCAGACAAATCGTAAAAATCAGAGAGATATTAATGCTAGCCAGTTTGATCATTGTAATATGAAAAATGCAAAACTGTATTTAAATTTACAATATTATCTTTATGGGGATCTTAATATTAATATAACAAACAATAATTTTGCATATGACATGTATGCAAACTTTCAGAATTCATATTATGGTAAAGATCGTGCACCTTTGTTAAGCAAATACCAATTTCAACATAGCCACATGATGGCTCTGTCAGTAGCGTGTCTGCCTACAGATCTTGATGGCCGGGGTTCAAACCCCACTCTGGACAAAAATTTCATCAATGAATGAGGTTTTTTTCTAAGTGGGATTTGTACTTCAATAAACCTACCGATCTATCTACCGCTTCCCCCTACTGTTATTAAACCCAACGTATGGCTAAATACACTTTATAGTGTCAAAATAGCCATGTTTGAGCATTTAAAGGGCGATGATGAATACAAATACAATTTCAACATGCTGTACCTTTGATTGTCCTTGACTGTTTGAAACAAAATGAGTCGTTAAAGAATGCTCCCGTAGATGTGCAATTAGGATTCAAATCTTACGACAATTTTCCAAATAATACGCCAGCTTACTGCTTAATTTTACATGATCGTATCGTTATGTACAGTCCCATGACTGGGGATGTCTAAAAACTTATGTGAGGCTAGGAAACCCGATGCATGACACTACAAACTTCATTAATCTGTTAACCACCATGGAAAAAGGTCAGAGCAGTTGGACTAGAGAAGAAGAAGAGAATAGGTGAAGGCAAAAAGAGTAGAAAATATTTGAGAAGAGACACGCTGAGGAATGGAGAGAAAAAGAAGCTAGGCAAAAATCAAAAGATTATACATGTTGTAAAATCCTTTAAAATAAAAAAATTAACTTGCTAAAAAATATATTTATTAATCAACATGTCTCATAAGCCAATCATTAGTAAATTCACTACTGATGTTAAATATCAAAAAATTCCAACAGAGGATGATGATGATGACAAAAATAAAAAATCTTGGCTAAAAAATTTAACAGAAAAGTTTTCAACTAACA